AAAGTGGAGCAGAAACTCTTGAAATGTTAAAAACGGAGTACATGGACGATGCTATGGGGAAAACTCAAGTGTTTGAGTGGTTTTCCCGTTTCAAAAATGGTGAAATGTCAATTGATGACAAACCTCGTTCTGGTCGTCCTTCCACGGCCCNTCTTGATCAAAAATGGTATGACCCCTGTTCCTCACCCTCCATACTCACCCGACCTTGCCCCGTGCGACTTTTTTTTTGTTTCCTCGAATGAAAAGAGACATGAAAAGAAAAAACGATGGAGGCGCTGTCAAGCATCTCAAAAGATGAATTTAGACAATGTTTTGAAAAATGGAATAAAAGACTAGACAAGTGTATAAGTGTAAGTGGAGAGTACTTTGAAGGGGATTGAAGGTTTGTGCTTAATTGAATAAATAAGTTAAAAAAATATAAGTTCGGTTTCTTTTGGGTACATCCTCGTATGCCTGGTTCTAACAGTTTAGTTGTTCCTAAAAATCAGTCCGCCCTGCTCAGAACACTCATGAAATATATTTCACGAGAATGGAGGTTCTCTGTCATAATGCCCGCCACTGAACCATACTAAAACAAGGGTCAATCCAGCCCGTACTCCAGGAGCAGTTACCCATTTACTTGAGTTTATTTAAGGACACCGTGGAATGGATCTGTGAGCTTATGCAGGTCGAATAAGATGAAAGGCTTCAGCAGGAGTGACGAACTGCAAGCGAGTGTAGCCTGCTGCAATGTGCCTGAGGTAAAACAAGGACGGGAATGCAGGAAAACCGCAAGTCTGCACAGAATGTGAGAATCAAGGCCCAGGTTCAGGAGAACGCCCCACAACAACGCACATGTATTAGTAAACATCGGAGTACGAACTGCGAAAGACGCAAGAGAACTAAGAATCAGTTGGCTGAAAACACAAAAATAAAAGTTGGCTTTATAGTTTCACTTTTCAGTTTTACAAACTGCAAGGAGGATTCCCAGACATTTAACCTGATAACAAAGCAAAATCGCTAGTTTCGTTTTTATCAAGGAAGTGATGTATTTTGCTTAACACAGTTGAGGAATTCTCAAGAAACAATCATGCTGACCCCAATGGGCCGTGCCTACAGCTCCCCCCCCCCCAATTCATCTCTTCATGGCTCAAGAAAGCAAATGCCGTCTTGAATCTGGGCATCGAAACTTATCGATATCCTCCACAGCGCACTTGGCGACACGCTTCCTGACGTCAAAACTTTTAATAAGCGGCCACAGCCAACAAAAAGAATGGAAAGCTGCATTACCCGTGCACTACCAGTCACAAGTAATCTGCAGAGTTCGTATTACTTGCTATATGAGAGTCTAGATGAAACAGTTTTCCCGTACAGCGGTGCTGCTATCGCCAAAATAATGTTGTGGGTCACCTGTAAGCGACATGATCTATCCATTAAGTGTTTTCTAAATTCTCTATCTGCCATTCTGCACACGCCATTCACCCTATGTTAATTTATTTATTACACATACATAATACAGGTATTATATTACACACTGTAATAAAATTAATCTTCTTGTATTTCATTCAACATACACACTACCGAAAAGTAACCAAAACTAAAGTTCTTGGACTTAATAACATATATTTAAATTGCGCACCATATTTTGGATGATAAACATTAATTATAGATTCGATAAAATTCGTTCTGAGCTACGTGCAAATAAAGGGTGTACTGGGCAGATACGGATCCAAAATTAAATTCACTTTTAAGGGCCGCGCCATAACTCGAGCGGTTAGTCGCTGGCTTCCCACCGCGGCGGTCAGGGTTCGATCCCGGGTCTGGTCAAGTGGGATTTGTGGTGGACAAAGTGACGCTGGGACAGGTTTTCTCCGAGTATTTCGGTTTCCCCTGCCAATCTTCATTCCACCAATTGCTCCACAATCACCCTTACCTATCATCTGGGGCTGGTACAATACGCCAGAAGTGGCCGCAGTACAAGGGACTTAGTCCCACCCCACTAGCAATAAAAAAAAAACACTTTCAAACTTACCTCACACCCCAATACCAAATTTAACCGAAATTCGCTGAATGGTTCTGGAGATGGAATACGTGGACACAGCCTCAACATTACGCGCTAATTTTACTAGTTCGTGCAAATAATACAAACATAAAAATGTGGGAAAATTCAAAAGAGGCATATTTTCACGCCGTTTATTGGTTCTGTGGCTGCAATTCGTCCGTTGGGGCACAGTCGCCTGCAAGAAGATAACCCCCAGGCAACTAACAATGTCTATGCAACCAGTACTGCTCGAGAGGTGACTCCTAGCAACATTAAACACTGTGCATATGACAAATTGAGATGCGGACCGACAGAACAAATGCACTTGCTAACGAAATTCAGCTGAAGAGCAGAAGAATGTGGGATAGCAAAGGCCTCTTCATGCTTTCAGATGCAAACTTCACTGAGACCTATAAAAATAAGTACGTATTAACTTCCGCGGATCACGTTATAAATCGCACGAACACTTCACAAAGGCCGACAATGGCTCAGAATTAAGACGTATGAACTCCCAAACAGCACAGAAAATGGACTGAAACTATGTAATCCATACAGGAGTTCCGTACTCAGCTTTCGCGTGCCTTCTTGGTGCCTTGGCACCCAGAATACAGTACTCCTATTCCGGACAGCTTTGACGAACACGGCAACAGCAGTAGGGACAAGGTGTGTGTGTGTGGCCTAGCTGGTGTGCATCTACTATACAACTCAGGCCTGCTCACGTTGCATATTATTTTGGATTTGTCCGTGCAGACTGGTACGCCTGTGTACTTCGGTATTGTTCACGATGTGGCTGCACAGCCTGACATGTCTATATACTTCGGTGTTACTCAGGATGCCGTTATTCAGGATGACTGCACAGCCTGACGTGCCTATATATTTCTATGCTACTCAAGCTGCCTATATTCAGGATATGGCTGCACAGCCTGGCATGTCTATATACTTCGGTGTTACTCAGGATGCCGTTATTCAGGATGACTGCACAGCCTGACGTGCCTATATATTTCTATGCTACTCAAGCTGCCTATATTCAGGATATGGCTGCACAGCCTGGCATGTCTATATACTTCGGTGTTACTCAGGATGCCGTTATTCAGGATGACTGCACAGCCTGACGTGCCTATATATTTCTATGCTACTCAAGCTGCCTATATTCAGGATATGGCTGCACAGCCTGGCATGTCTATATACTTCGGTGTTACTCAGGATGCCGTTATTCAGGATGACTGCACAGCCTGACGTGCCTATATATTTCTATGCTACTCAAGCTGCCTATATTCAGGATATGGCTGCACAGCCTGGCATGTCTATATACTTCGGTGTTACTCAGGATGCCGTTATTCAGGATGACTGCACAGCCTGACGTGCCTATATATTTCTATGCTACTCAAGCTGCCTATATTCAGGATATGGCTGCACAGCCTGGCATGTCTATATACTTCGGTGTTACTCAGGATGCCGTTATTCAGGATGACTGCACAGCCTGACGTGCCTATATATTTCTATGCTACTCAAGCTGCCTATATTCAGGATCTGGCTCCACAGCCTGACATGTCTATATACTTCAGTGTTACTCAGGCTGCCTATATGGGGGTGGGAGGTCGGAGAAGGCAGAGTCGGTGCCCTGATGAGGGCAGTGTACTCGGGAACATGTGGCTGGTAAAGGGCGACCTGGAGGTGTAAACACCAAGCGTAAACAGTATCCTCTGTGTGTGGCCAGGTCTACACCGGATAAACAGGCCTTTCGATCGACACCAGGTTGAAGGAGCACCGTTGGCATATTCGGGTAGAACACTCGGACAGAGCACAGCATTTGCTTGGGGCACCGCATCCAACTCCATAACACCAGCATCCTCTCCACAAAACCCAGACATATGAATCGTCTCATCGCGGAGGAGACTAAAATTGAACTTCAGCCCAACAATACGAACAGGGAGCGCAGCTTCTGCCTAAACAATTCATGCAAACTCCTCACCTGCTCCATGCAAGATCGTACGAACCCCGCCCCACAGGATTCCCCACTAGGCCACGTATGTCTGGGCACATTACCCTTATGAGGGCACCCATCAACCCTGAACATTCCTTTCCCGGCCTCACTCCTCGTTCTTCGTCTTCTTACCTCTCATTGCATGCTCACACCCACGCATGTGACTTTTCTCCAGCTCACCACACACACGCTCACAACCTCTCCCTACGATCCCATGTCTGCACTAGAGGCCCTTTTCAGAGCCCAGCAAAGTCACTCTTCTCTGATCTCCTATTGGTGCGCTCTTTTCTTCTGATAATCAATGGGAACCGAGGAGGGCCGGCCTGATAATGGAGGCGAAGTTACTCCGAAACATCGGCTTTCACCGGAACATACGGCGTTATATCTCAGAAGACAGAATTCCCCATAATCAACGGTGTGAGAACCTCAAATCATACATAATGCTTTACTTGTTAGCCACACATAATCACAAGTATCTCTCCTCCAGCATTTTCCACTGAACTGGCAGATGTTAAGTAACTGCAAATTTAATTGAATCACAAGTATATTCTCATACGCACTACAGAAACAAAAACAGATCGTAGAGAAAACAACATGCACAGCCCTACAAACATGTCCCTGAACATGCAGACTCTATGAAGAGCAGTTTAACGGATGCATGGAATGCTCGTTAGGTTTATTTATACCTTGAATCGCTCTCTTTGCTTTGTTCTTCACAACGAAGACACTCGTTGTAAAAAAAACATATGGCACAATACCAGTAGCTACACATACACAAAGTAATCTCTCTGCTTGTCCCAACTGTTTCCATCATTCACCCACGTTATACGTAAAAAGCATAAACTCACATAAGACACGCAACGATGTCATGCCCATTCTTATTATGATAGACAGGTTGAGACAACATACAAGGTAGATCGTGGTCTTCCAGGTTGGGGGTTGGGTGTGAGGTTAATAACCCCATCTCGAAAACAATGTATGCCAAGAAATTCAACGATGGATGTCAGGTGAATAATTTGGAGAAACAACTACAGAACGGTTATAAAAGCAACGTGGTGTATTTTGGTATTTAGAATACGCTCGGCTTATTCCGAACAAAGGCATTAAATGGTTCAGACTCCATTGGCGGAAAGAAGCGGAGAATGATTTAGTACGATGAAGGTGAAGACGTGAAGGAAAAAGGACATACGATGGACAAGAAGGGTCACCCGACGTAGAGGTGGCCTATGTTCATTGATAACCGTACAGCCAAGGAATAAATAACATGAAGAGAGCAGTCTTTAGGGATTTGGCACCGTCTATATGTGGTGTTGACCGACGTTTCGGAGGAACGTATCGCCTCCATCTTCAGGGTAGAAGAAAAAATATAAGAAATCTGCAAACGAAGAGACCGTGAGAACCGGTAAAAGCGTGCTTCTACCCTGAAGATGGAGGCGATACGTTCCTCCGAAACGTCGGTTAACACCACATATAGACGGTGCCAAATCCCAAAAGACTGCTCTCTTCATAGTCACCGCCGTGAAAGCCTCAAATCTTACACAATAAATAACATATTTACAAACATGCAGACCTATAAATTCTTCGAGTGTGCTCAGACGATCACTGCTCATTGCTGAATTTGAATGTTTGAAAATGTATATATTCAGAGCGGTTAACAATGCTGGGTCGTTCACTCTCTTTTGTTCGACCATCTCGAACGCAGATTTACGGTAAAGTAAACTGGATATAAAACTTCATTTTTCTAGGCAAATTTAGTTCGATTGAATCTGAGGCGCGCTCAGTTTAGTGCTTATGTAAAATGTCCATTATTTTTCTTTCATTTTAACAAATAACAAATTTAGTAAAACTATTCGACATCAAAATTTTCTTTCGTTCTTTTTTTTTTACTTCTAATTGTGTACCACATGTTTTAGTAAGTACTTTTTTTTATTGCTGTATTCTATCTCATATAAGGGATAATGTCGTAAATCCAGGAGTTTATACCGAGGTTATTTCCCGTCAGGAATGGCAACAAACAGATGTTATATTCAAGACTGATTTGGATGTAAGTCACGGTTAAAACACGTTGGGTGCAATACATGCTGGCAATCAGAACGGTTCAGAAATTTTGAAAACCTCTTACTACTTATGAAACTTCAAAATATGTTCAATTTTGGAAATCTTAGGAAAAAATGTGTCAGTGTTTATAATACATAACAATTTATTTTTTAATTCTAAACTGCTCTAATTTTGCTAAAACATGCATAGCAGCAACACGAAGTTATCGTGACTTACATCCAAAGAGTTCTTGAATATTAAATATCCACTGCTCCTAATGATGTTGATACTCGTACATTAATAAAATCAATAAAACGAATAAATAACAAAATCCATTGCTCCATACACGATAAGACATTTATATGACACTTCTGACTGGAAATTACCTGAAATATAAGCTCCTGAGGTTAAGATATTAAGCCGTGAATAACCCTGTATAATATTATTGAAATATGTTTTTTTTTAATTCCGTTATTTCAAATTCCCTAGATACAATACCGTTTTTGTGACATATTCTACATCAACAGCATCTTCATCCACTGGTTAAACATATACTACCACCACCACCAAAAAGAACTTCTTAAGATGATGACGACGACGATCCACAAAGTGGTCATTATTTTTCAATTTTCACTAATATTTTCCTCTCAAGAGCTCTATATGTTGCAAACCTGTCACTGTACAATACAGTACAATACAAGTTTTGAGAATGAACGCTCACTCACGGAGCTAAGCCCTTCTTGAGAAGCCGCCAATTCTGCAGTTGTTCAAGAATTTCTGAGCATTTTATGGAACCCGAAGGTTCATTACTGTGTTCACAAGAGCCCTCCACTGGTCCCCATCCTGATCCAGATTAATCCAATCCATACCATCCCATCCTACCTCTCTAAGATCCATTTTAATAATGTCCACCCACCTACGCCTTGGTCTTCCTAGTGGTCTCTTTCCATCTGGCTTGAGAATTAACACTAGCACGAGGAAAGTAACTTCCACATCGCCGTCAGAAACTACAAGCGCATTAACACTTCTAGCTATGTGGGGCTCTTACGAAATTTAAAAGTCTATGAATCTACTGTCTCCCTCTCTATGCCGGAAACTCTAAAAAAAAAAATCATTAACTAACGAATAGAAAGTATGTGTGTGTGTATATATCGCTGTTTCATCTGTTTCGGTGTTAATTCCGGTAGTGCGGATGTTTCTGTGGGATGTGAGAAAATGGCACAGAGTTAGAATGAAATGAATGTGAAGGGGAAAGAAGAGCAACACTCAGTACAGTTTGTAAAATCGTGCCTTGCCACCAGCCATGGAGTGAAGGGACTGTTTGTATCGGCTCTCTTTCTCTTTCTTGGGTACATCCCTCCATAACACGAATTTCGTAAGGAGGTGTGGGAACCGCTGCTGCACTTCCACTTTTCCTCTAGTTACCATCCTTCCGCTTCGTCGGCCGTCTGAACGCATTTAGGGCTACTTCTGGTTCAAACACTGAATTCACTTTAACTGTCACATCTTTCAAGTTTAGATCTTTTAGTATGCGACACCAGGGCCATAGTGCGGTTAAAAGGATTAGGTAAATGGAAAAAAATTCAATGACCTCATCGGGATTCGATCCCGTGACCTTCAGGCTTGTAGCATAGTGCCTCAACCAACTACGCTAAGTTACCGGAAATCCGAGTGATACAAATGTAAACAAATTAGTGAGTGATTGTTTAAGCAAGTGAAGTAACTAATTTGTCCTTTACTGACAGCCCAATTCACAGGTTCACGCTTCAGATGTGCTTACAAAAGTGGAGCCAGAAACTGCAACAGGTTGCATATGTGTTTTCAGTGAACAACAGTCCTGTTGTACTACTGAAGAACTTGAAACCAGGCTCCAAATAATGTAAATATCTACTCCTACAGATAATATCCCATACTAAAATAAAAAACAATTTCAATATCTTAATGAATAAGCCTAAAAAATGTAATTAAGCACTACGCCATGAAGGCATATGGGGGAGTGGATATATAGATCCACATTTTCTTTACCTCGGCACTAGTTGGAGGTGAGTGGTCAGCTTCCCGCTCGTAATGAATAAGCCTGGCAGATTTTTTTTTGCCTTTCTTATTAATGCCGTATTATCTCTTTGGCCTATAGTAACCTTAAACCTAAGTGACCAATAGTAACATTGTGACATGACAATTTAATGTCAGAAAAATTAAACAAGAGACGGCCGTTGCTAGACAACGTCACAGTAAGCGCACTTCCGCAGCAACAAATAAACACACAACAATCGAGGAACTGTTGGAAGCACTGTTTTCTACGCGATCCATGCCAAGGCTATATAATATGGTAGAGGAATCAAACCGCCACTTCACCCGTGTGGAGGCGGGGTCGAATACCTCCACCGTGACCCTGCGAGTCGTAGGAGGCGACGAAAAGGGAAGCCTCATATCTGAGACAGTAAAATATGGTGGCGAGTCCCAAGGGACTCCGACCCGAGAAAGATCGCTCTGGCAATGGCCAGCAGCATATGCACAAGACAGACCCGTCCTCTCGTCAGAGAGGGCGCCCCACGAAAATAAAACCGTAACTGTCAAACGGTAATAATTAATATCTGGTCATGATCCCCAGATGGGGCTCGACACCAAGACTTACTGACTGACTGACCGTCAGTCGCAATGTGACTTTGACTTGAAACCGCCACTTGTGAGAATGCCATATGTAGGTGAGGTCGAATACCTGTGGCCCTGCGAGTCGTTGGCGAAGAAAAGGGAACCCAGTGCCTGGGGGTATAACCGGGTCACCATGTACCTGGGGGATATAAATACGGGGACCTGGCACTCCAGGGTGGAGGGGTCTCGAATCTCAGACAGTAAAATGTGGTCATAAGTACCGCGGGACTCTGACCTTAGAATGACTGCGCTGGCGAGGGCCAGGAGCAACTGTACACGACAAATCCATCCTCTAGTCAGGGAGGATGTTAAATATGGGCTATGACCGCAAGTGTTCGGTTGAAAAAAAAATATAATGGTCGTGGGTCTCTTGGGGTTTGGAACCAAGACAGACTGATTGGCGCCCCACATAAACAAACCAGCAACTGACAGCAATAAAAATCTGGTCTTGGGCCCCTGATGGGGTGCTTGACACCATGATAGACTGGCCGATTGACCTTGGGTCATAACGTAACTATGACTTCGACTTGTACCGCTACCCAGCAATAACTAACATGTTGAGAAGACTTGGCGTTTACTGTAGTGATTCTGTAGAGTATGTAGACCAGTGAGAGTGTTACAGTCACTTCTAGTTATGAGTTATAAGTTATAAGCGTTCAATAAATCCAATTATCAATCCAAATTCCATGTCTCATCACTACGATGTGACAATATGTATGTAACCTGCAGTTAACAAATATACACCTCATCAACCAATTCATGACCCAACATGACATTTTCCAAAAATACACTTATAGAATCACAAAAAGTTTTACAAATAAACGTGCAAAAATCAGGATACAGATTTAAGCAAAAGTCAAGGTCAAACTCTCATTGTGCCCTAAAACATTATGAGTGGCATACCAAATGAAAGCCCCGCTTAAGAGGTATAAATTGGTACAAGAATATGCCAGAGTTATATGATTTTGGTGATTCAGCCTGTGAGAAAATCTCAGCAAAACTTAGTATTTCAGAAAGCAGTAACTTTGAAATTAACCGAAACAGAAAGGAAACGCTTCACATTCATCACTTACTCATCAAAATCTGTAGGCTTACAAAATTTCGCTAAAATCCAAGGCAGTCACGTCAACTGCTGTGTGGATTTGACTGAAATACCAAGCATTAATTTCGCTCCATATACCGCCAAATTGAAAATCGGTACTGAATAATTCGCACAGTGCCAAAAGAACCCTAGAATAATATCATCGTAATCCAAAGACAACAACGAAACATGAACAGAAATTGTGTCCATAAGAAGAGTTCTCATGTGCATTTATTGCTAATCAATATTAAATATCAATTCAATACAGTCAATAATGAAGGATGAATACGTGTGAGGTCTCTTCTGCTAAGGAGAACATTTCAAATCAAAACAAGATGTCAGCATTCCTACCAAACACAAGAAATATTACTTAAGCACACACCTACCTATATGAAAGGACGGTTTTACACATTAGTCTCACTAGTTCTGTTTTTCCCCCTGCTAACTATGGGTCTCTGTTTCAGTCTGAGAGCCAGTGATGAATGAAAACCGATGTCAAACACAGTATTAAAACTCGCAGATGTGAAATATTCTGAACCAAAATCGAAAGTTTGGGTTAAAATGAAATGGTTATAAAAAACCTTAAAATCCAAAATCCGAAATCTGTTTCTTATAGGATAATCAGAACCTATGCTACACTGTATTGAAATCAAATTGGGAGTTTTATATAAGTGTTAAGAATACACATCTGTCACTGAAAACGTTCATTTTATATTAAGTTACAGTCATATAAATCCTCTATTAAAGAATAAAATGAATAAAAGCGTGTTCCAAAATTTCGGCCTTATATTATTCAATTCATGTCCTGCATAAAGTATCATACCTCTCTTATAGTAAATTCAACAAGTTTATGAGAATATTCGAATGAAATACGAATCAGAAATACTGCCTTCTTACTCTAAGACAAAACTTACTTTTGCTTCGGCATTATCCTGCTTCACACTACACACTTGGGTTATTCTAAAATTCCAAAAAAGAGAAACGCTGTGCTATTAACCTCAGCTTTCACAGACCACTATAGCACTTCACCAAAATCACAACATAACCCTCACCAACTCAGTCACAAACCACAATACAACTACAGTACAGCAAATTTAAGCGGTCGCGAAAGACTGCAAAAACCGTATAAACAACTTCCACAACGGCCAGCGAGCTCATAGGCATGAACGGGCATGAAGCAGGGTCACCAACGTTACCAATACCTTTTTTCACACAACTAGGTTCTTATAACATTAGTTAGGCTGGAGATGAAAATGCGTGAGCAATTGCAGTTTTTAAAATTTCTTTCATTTTACGCAAGATTTCATTACTGTATTAGTGATATATTTATTACCGGTACATTCCAGTCGTTAAAAGCGGTAAATATCAGCAAACATACTACCTACAAAATTAATACTCCTGCAATCTGCTAGCAGCTACGAGAACTCTTTCTGCTGGAAAATACTCCCCTGCCATCTACTGACAGAAGGTTAAAGTTCATCTTGCAAAGTTCGGGCGGTTCAAGTGAATATGATTTGTGAGTTATCTATAACTAACCTCCTTCCGACAATAAATACATTATCAGTAACCATTATATCCACTAATGACGCTAGTGTCATAATTTATAGTAAAAATTTGTATAACTTCTGTATATTGTCAAACAGAGCTCTCTCATATGAGTAAATGATTTTGTGCAAACAAAGCATGTCTGGATCTAGGTAAAAGAAAAATAACAATATTTATAGCAAATAATTCACTACACTTACCACTGAACAGTGCATATAGTGATGAATATACAGAGGAGTTCGTAAAGGCAAAATTCTTTTATTTACAAGTTGATAACCACTGGAAAACTTATATTGATTAGTTGGTTCCTGATTTGAGAAGAGTCTATTACAGAAGTAGATCTATGTTACACATAAGCAAGTACTATTCCAGTTATTCAAAATATTGCAGAAAATTGCAAGTAGATCATCATTCTTATCCTTTAACAAGGTAGTTCTAAATTTGTAACCCTTCTGAAATTCATTTATTCCTGTATGTAAATCTGTATGTATGTTCTTGTTCTTACTGTGTGTTTCAAGTTCATTAATTTTGTCTTTCAGACATTCCCACTCTTTGTTATTGAAATGTCTGCTAGCTTAGGGAGAGACTAGCAGTCACTAAAAAAAAATACACAGAGCTCATATTGAGAGGTTTAAGCACCTGAGACCGTCTAAATCTGTTAGAGTCAACGATATCCCTGGATTCATTATTAAGTGTTGTACTGATAAATTTGTACCTATTCTTACACATATCATTAATCTAATCTTACCTCAGCATTATTTTTCCCCCCTTTGGAAGCAAGCAGCAATTGTTCCTGTTCTCAAAAAAGGCAAAAGTACCTCTGTTAGCAACTATAGGCCTATATCCCCTCTGACTAAATTTCTAAACTAATTGAATTTATTCATGACCATGTTTCCCGCTATCTAAAATCTAAAATTAGCTTTTCTAAAACTAAATCCACAAGCACTAGTTTGGTAACTTGAAGTGATTTTATTTCCTTTATAGTCGACTCTCAGAGACAAGCTAAGATCATTTATTTTTTTCTGAGTAATGCATTTGACTTCGTCCCACATTCTCTTCTTCTTCATAAGCTTATCCTATACCTATAATACCTATCCAACCAGAAATCTCAGGCCCGTGTTTCTGATGTTCTTTTCTCACCTTTTGAAGTTCTCTCTCATGTTCCTCGGGGATCTGTCTTGAGACCCCTTCTCTTCAATGTGTTTATTAATTACATATGCGATGCAGTCGCCCACTACTACTTTTTACTGATTATATCAAAATTTACCAACCCGTTAGTTCTCCTCAGGACTGCTATCTACTTCAGTTTGGCATTAATTCTGTACAAGGTTGGTGCATTGCTAACTGCATGAAACTCAATATCAGTAAAACTAAAGTTATATCCTTCTCCAGGAAAACCAACTTACTTATCTACGATTATAAACTGTTGTCAATCGTCCATAGCCTGGACCGATTCTATAAAAGACCTGGGAGTGCTTATAGATGCTAAATTACATTTCCATGACTAGGTAAATTAAAATTTCTCATTGTATTAAACTGTTGGGTCTAGTTGATAGCATTACTTTCAATATTCATCTCTAGATTGTACGCTCAGATTGTACACTGCATTAGATCTAAACTTGAATATGCGTCTGTAGTCTGGAATTCAATTATGTCAAATGATGCCAATAAGCTCGAACACATCAAGCAGAGTCCATTACTTTTATTCTCTTGCTCCGGAGGAGTTTAATTGCATACATTATGTATTAAGAGACATCGCCTCAATGCTCTCCTTCTTACTCAACTTTACTTTGGTTTGAAATTCTGCCCTTCTGTTCTGGAAATTGTTGGTCTCCAAGTTCCTGCTCAGTATATCAGAGACTTTGTATTGTTCAATGTTTGCTCCCCATGTAAAAATTGTCCCTCTGCTAGATGTGCAGCAGCTGCTAATGTTGTTTGCAGGGATGTTGATGTATTTGGAGCCAGGAATGTTCTCCTCAAACGATTTTTAAATATGGTATAACTGTTACTATTATTATTTGCATGTACAATAAACAACAATTAAACTGAATTATTACTATTATCCTCTCTAAATATCTATACTTTTCATTTCTCAATTAAATATTTATATATTTCTTTTCTCAGTTCTCAAAAACAACTTAGATTTATGTTAATGAAATTATTATTATTATTGTTTTATTGTCTGCATTAATGTTTTTTCCTCCAGTGCTTGCCTGTAATTTGTCCTTGTCTTTATGTTGTGATTATGTAATTACTTGTATCTACACTGTGCTCTGTCTGTAATTGGCCTTGTGGCTACTGACTTGGCACAGAAATAATAAAGAATTGAATTCAATTATTATTATTGTATACTGCTCTATTTGAAACTCAAATTGTTCTTCGCTGTCACATTGTTCTCTTATTTGTTGTTTACAACAAAGATAAATTCAAATTAAATTCTGATGTCTATAACATGAATACTAGACAAAAATATAACTTCCACCTACCCTCATCAACTTTATCAGTATATCAAAAAGGAGTCTACTTTACTGGCATAAAAGTGTTCAACAATCTGCCACAAAGTATTAAAAACTTGGGCAATGATACTAAAAAGTTTAAATCAGAGTTAAAGAATTATCTACATGCTCATTCCTTCTACTCTTTAGATGAATACTTCAATGTAAATAGAGAATGATGTAAAATTAAGTTATATTAATTTTTAAGCTAAAATTGCCTGTACTTATGTATGTAACCTTTTGATTTGTTCTGTATCCAAAGGTACTAACCTACTTAGGATTTATAGAATGTAAATAAATTCAATTCAATTCAATTCAATTGTGGTTTTGTCTGTGTGCATTCGTTTCTGTATCTTTATTCATACTCTCTTTGTAATTAATATAGACTATCATATTTTGTATTCTGTTCTTTAATTATTCTTGTGTATCTATTCATGATAACTTTGTAATTGGCCTCTTTGCTGTTAAGTTTGCACATAAATAAACACGAACTGAATTATGATTATTGTGGGTAAGGACTGAAGTTATGAAGGCCCCTGATGATAATATAAGACAGGTATATATCCTATAGAGGGCTTATTTAAATTACAATTGTCCTCATTGTTTGTAATTTTAACTTTCAGTCTTGTGGCTGAAATTATATTGTTCAATTCTAAGTACAATCAAGATTCATTCTTGGACTCCATAAGCAAGTTCAAGTTGCAACCAGATTTTCGTCCCAAGGACCTGAAACAGCAGATTGCTCCAAAATGTAGAGTCCTCTACTTTCCATTGAAGTTCCCTTCACTGGGACCTTTGAGAGATTCAGACAACACAGTTCTCCATTTAGTTTGGCCACACAGGTGGTAAGTGGTAATGTAGCTCTGAAATAAGATTTGGTAAGATATGTTTTTCTAAAGGACAGTAGAGAACCACTTTCATTATTTTTAAATAATTAGGAAGGCCATTGTCCAGTAAATCATACAGTTCAATCAGTTAACATATTTAATAACCATAACTACATCAATATTATACAATATAATACATGGCACATCATGGATGTTGGAACACTGATGTGGTAAAAAGGCTGAGTCACATTTTATAAACACGAAGTAAAGAGCTAGACAGAAAAAAATAGTTTTACATTACTATTATATAACAAATTATAAAATATTTTAATAAACAATGAGATCATTTCTTCATGCTGCAGGGAGCATGATAAAGATCCTGCAACATTCTTCCATGTGTTGCTGATGCTGATGGATGCTGGACTTAATTTCCATGTGTCAGTACTTGGTGAACCATTTTCTGAAGTTCCTCCAGTGTTTGCTGAGGCTTCCACTCATCTGGGCAATCGGGCTGTCAACTGGGGTAACTAGAAAACAAAACATGAATATCATGAAATACTAAGACATGTTCATATTGCTATATCCACAGCTAAGCATGAATTCTACGGGGTGGCAATGTGAGTCATCTTAAGTATTTCATATACGATGTACGATCCACTTGGGATTTTTCCCTTGCATGTCATTTCACACAAATTCTGTGAGTGCCTTCCTGCCTCTCCATATCATATACAATATGTTCCATAATTTGTCATCCATTTACACTACTAATAGTGCCGCATTTCATCTAAAGTGTGGGACTACTAGAGGGATGACTAATATGGGGGACACACTGAAGACCAAATGGCAGTCACAGTGTAAGGGCCAGTATGACCCAACCCTTCATCAGTAAATCAATCAATACATGCTTTTATGCTGTTATTTTAGTTCCTGTCAGTGATACTAGATGGCTGAACTAGATCTTTTACTGTTTTGGAGTGATGGTTGGAAAAATACAACAAAATTTGAAATACCAGGTGAAAAAAGTGAAAAAGACTTAGCAATTTCAGTAAATTATTGTGACACAGGAAAGGTTGAAATTACAGTCTCTCCACTGCAAGTTTAATCCTGACATAAACAAATGCACATCCTTGATGATCACTTGTAATTCAGTTATTGAACATTACAGGTTGACTATATATGGAGTTAGAGAATAGTACCTGCATTCAAGAAACATATTCGTATGTTCTGCAAGATACACAATTCTGAACACAGTCATTCATTTATTACTACAATATATCATGAACAGGTTAATAATTATATACAATTGTCACACCATTGACTGAAAAGTACTGTCTTCTGTTATATGACACCATGTAGTCTGGTAGAAGATTCCTGATGTTTCAATAGAATGAAATGACACTATCTTCAGGATTGAAGAGGATACCAAGAAATTGCCGATCTTTGGCCTTGAAGGTGGAAGCAGTATATTCATCTGAAATGTTGGCGAACTTCTACCAGACAACATAATATAATGTCCCAGAACCAGTCTTAATAATTATATAAAATAATTTAGAGAAGGTAAGTAAAAAAAAGTAAAGCTATCCCTGTAACAGGCGGTGAAGGCCCATAGGTTCGTGAGACATTGAGGGTCAAGGTCACGGGTTCAAGTCCCGATGAGGTCGTTGGATTTTTTTAAATTGACCTAATCCTTCCAGCTGCAATATGGTCCTGGGATCGACTAAGACTCTAAGAGAAATGAGTGCAAAAATTAATTAAATAATTTTCCTGGGGAGCAAAGCGCGGCCAGAGCGTAAGGCTGACAAACTTACCGCCATCTTTGAGCCGACTGTCTAGATAGAGAGAGACAATGCACATGCATTAATGACAGTCTAATCCATGAACAAGCACTCACTATCACTCATTTCAGTGAAGGAAGTTACATAGCTAGACACAAGATCTTAAAAGCATGACAGGCTGTCAAGTACTTTCAGGTTTGGGGTATCTACAGATGGGAATTTCATTAAAAAAAAAATTGGGAATAACGAAATATTGTGGCAACAATGTAAATGGGAACAGGCTTCTGCATACATGCAGACACAATGAGAATCATCACTCATGATGTGTATTTGTACCAACCATCTTACAGTGCACACAATTTCACTTTTCTCCTCACTACATGTTTTGGCACTAATGTGCCATCTTCAGGTGTAGTTTTATTTACGTCAAACCACTGCACTGTATGCCATCATGTCTCCTTTATAAAATGATTAAAAACTTTTCAAGATTTATCATCTATATGTCGTACTTCAAATTCGCAAGTTATGTCGATCCTCTCCTATGGAGTACTCTTCCTATATTCTTGTATATATTGTGTGCTGTGTTGTGTCCTTCCCTTGTGATTGCGTGTGTTGTACTGCTCATCACTTTAAGGACATCTGACACATGATGCTTTATTCTTTAGTAATGAAATTATGCCAGAAATTTCTGACAATGATATTGGAATATTAACTATTTCAGGAAATTTGTTGGGAAGACTAGTTATTGTTGCTGACCTCAGTTTTTGGATATTGACTAATTAATTTCTCCACTGCATCTATAAAATAGGTATTAAAAAACCCAGCTGCTTTATTAATTTCAATTTTTGGTTTCACCATTTTTGAACTCCACTGGAACAGATTTTCTTTTAGCTACACAACCAATTTCATTATTTATAATTTTCCAAGACATTTCAGATTTATTTGTGGATTTCATTAACATTTCATTGTAGTACATCTCTTTAGCTTTTCTAATGACTCTTCTTAATGTGGAACAGTAACAGGAGTAATATTCTCTCATTTTAATATGATGAGTTACTCTACTTATTATGTAGAGGTATCTTTTACATCTACACGACACTTTTATTCCACCAGTTATCCACTGATTTTTATGCCCCCTATCCATCACAAATTGCATGGGGAAGCATGATTCAAAAATGACTATAAATGTGTTTAATTTATATGAGGTTTCCACAAGGATTTTAAAAATTAGTGCTCCCTATATTAGTGCTCCACTAAATTATATCTGTAATAAATCAATAAGATCAGGAATCTTTCCTAGTCGTTTAAAATATTCTATGGTGAAACCAATATTCAAGAAAGGAGACAGTACAAATATGATTAATTATAGGCCAATTTCATTACTGACCTCATTTTCCAAAGTATTTGAAAAAATCATTTACAATAGACTCATGCAACACATTGAAGCTAATAATATATTAACAAAGGAACAGTTTGGATTCAGATTAGGAGCATCAACAGTAAAAGCATCTTATAGATTGAACGATCTAATACTAAAGGCACTGAATAATAAAATGATGGTTGGAGGTATATTTTGCGATTTACGTAAAGCATTTGATTGTATTAATCACAACATTCTACTAACTAAACTAGAGTACTATGGAATAAGAGGAATAGCACTTAAATTAATTAAATCCTACCTAGAAGGTAGGTATCAGAAAGTCATTTTAGAAAATAACCAACATGTGTCCTCTTCTAATTGGGGAATTATAAAGCATGGAGTTCCCCAGGGATCGATACTAGGACCGTTGCTTTTTTTATTCTATATTAACGATCTCCCAAAATCAATAAAAAGTAACGCTGAGGCTGTCTTATTCGCAGATGATACTAGCATAATTGTTAAAAGTCTTAATCCAACAACATTTGGTAATACTATTAATAAAGTTTTTCAGGACATAAATAAATGGTTTACTGTTAATATGTTATCATTAAATGCTGAGAAGACACAATTTATGCAATTTGTAACAAAGATTAACTCCTTACTTCAAATAGATATAATCCATGAGAACAAAAAAATAGCTAATGTCTTTAATAC